TATATATTTATATAATTATTCTTATAATAGATACATTAACTTGTATAATATTTATATAAGTATTTATATTAAACTTATTAAACTTTTAACTAGTATCAAATGCAACATATCTTTTTTTGTTTTACTTGTTGTATTTAACTTATTAGAGTACAAGATAATCCGACATTCAACGTTCTAATAACAAATTTAATCACTTTTTTAGTCAAAGATTCCTTACACTTTGTGCATCGTTGCATTTTTATCATACATGTATTGTACCAACATTTTTATCATTTAAGGAAATTAACTAAGTAACTGTGATAACTTAGACGAAAAATTGAATTTTTGCACTGCCAAAAGTTCGGGTTAAAACCGTGATAAACACAGGAAAGAAACAACGTATCGCGATAAGGTGAGGTTCAACGCACTAGTTACATATATACGCATACGCTATGTATACTGCTATATATAACACTTTCTCAGCTTTCGCTAGAATTCGCAATTATGCTTGGTAACGTTCGAAACCTCATAACGTGATACCTCAGCAGAATGCAACTTTCATATTCATTTCTTATACCATGTAAGTACACACAACGTGAATTATAACAATAAATATCTATCTTGACAAATAAAATTTATTTCACGAACGTGACATTAATGCACCGCTTTATTAATACTCGAAACCGCGTTAAAAAATAATTTTGTCATCTTTTCAAATTTCTCTAGAAATATAAACACGTGGAAATATATTCACCAAATAACGAATAAGCAAAGTTATCATTAATCTTTATGGAATTTTCGATTCATTCGTTTCGTATTCACCGAAATGTTTCCGAGTTTTAAATGTTCACAGAAAAGTTAGGTTACGCGTGTACGTTTAGACACGAAATGAAACTGTGTGAAATTTAAGCGATTTTGAGACGTAGAGAATATTCGGAGGATCTAGGAAATTTGAAATTTTCCAAATTTTTCGACGCTGTAATATCACTATGATACTTACGCTTCTCTTGTTACTTCCTTATTTCTATGAACGACGTAGACGATTGGTCGCGCTCACTGCGTAAGTAGAAATGTGGCTGGTTGAACGCAGTCTCAACTCTTATAACTGGCTTACCGCCTGCGCGCTAAGGTTCGTTCATTCGAGCCAATGAAAAGCGACGAGGACATCTACAAGCGGCGATCGTACACATGCTACGAGGCTTCAAAGTCCGCTATAACGACAGTGCTTTCGCGTTATCAGCGTTACTGGGACTGTCGTTGAAAATTGGCGATCGGTCGCAATCATAGCAGCTATAGGGACTTTATACCCGCCTTCTTTCATAACTATATCTACATTTCGATGTTTCGAATCGACCTTTATTTTATGGACCACTTAACAAATGACATTTTTATACATATACCTATAGCAAAGACCTATAGGAAGTTACAAAGTATGAAATTTCATTTATAATTATACGACGACAAATAGGTTATTTAAATTATAAATCGGATTTTATGAATGGAACAGATATATAGATGTAATATTAACATAATATTACAAACTTTTTATTTAATTTGACAACGTGATGGAACATTTGGTGTAAGGATTGTAGCAATTTGTAACAAATGGTGTAAGGGTTGTAACAAGTAATGTATTAAAGACAAATTCAATTTTAAGTTCTAATATTTTCAACTGTGCTTTAAATTTTTTGAACTAAATATTTTTTTTATAAGTTCCCTTATTAATTTCTCTAATTGTTCAACTTACGATTACTTGTTGCATTAAATATGATAGGGAAATATATTTTTTCAATAAGTTTTAATGAAATTGATAACTGTCTTGGAATCTTCATTTGTTGTGTAATTACACTGCACAAAATCGTGATTTAACCGGAAAGTGAGTACGATAATATCAATACCTGGATAGAATTGTAATATTCCCCCAGTTCTTAGAACAACCATCATAAAATCATTTTGATACATACTATATCTGTGACTATACTAGAAATAATCTGTAAACATATAAAAAACAAATAATAACAGATTAGAAATAAATGCCAAAAATATACATTTTTTAGAAAAGTAATGATAAAAATGTATAAATTTTGTAACATGATATTCGTTTCTATTTTTTATTGAAGTAGGGACATGAATATACGTATAGGGAGTTCCAAATTTCCTCGTATAAATTTTTTCAGTGTGTTCCATAAATAAAAATTAGATTAAAATCATATTTAATACGAAATCGATAGATGTTTCACGATAAAAATATGAAACTATAATAGAAAGTAAATAAATGTTGCGTTAAAGATAAAATTTAATTTAGTCAAGTTCAATAGCACGTCGATATCAGTAAACCAAAGCTAATTTTTTAAATGCAAACGCGAATGCAATAGTTTAAAATTTTTTTTTGATAAAACATTTATAGATTTTATCATAACATGACATTTTAGTTTCATTTTTAACTATATATAGACTCATTTAGCAAAGTTTACACTGAAAGAGTTGGACACCCTATAAATTGCGTTCGAAAAGGAATGTTTCTATGAATCAGAGAATTTGTGCGCAATAACTACAGGATTCAATACACGCAATAAATTTTAAATACTTTTTAAACGCAATTATTTGAAACGATATTTGGCCTATATTATAATAGCTAATATATTATGTCCATATTTGGCATGATAAATTTAAGGTAAGAAATTTTAATGATTATTTGGAATACTATTTATTACTTAAAATGTTATGTGAAAAACAATGTATTTGGTACGACGAGTTTATAGTAAGAAATTTTAATAGTCATTCGAAATGTTCTTTTATATTTAATTAAGTACTTGCTTCATTCATGATATGATATTTTTGTTCACGTCTTACATAATTCGTTTCACTTTTTCATTCAAATATTAAGTTCTCTGAAATTGTATTGCGAAATTATAAATGGTCACTATTTGATACTGTTCCAGTGTAAACATAGAATTTTATTTTCATAATTAAATGAACATTTACGCTTTTACAAATTTTTCACATTACAGTCAAAAAAGAAAAACAAGAATATAATAAAATATTCTAAATAATTGAGTATATATATATATATATTAGTTATTTGTTAAAAAAAATTATCATCGTTGATTTTAATAATAATATTAGAATTTAGAAACCAATGCGCAAGGTAAATTTTCTATTTCTATCATTTGCAGTATTGCAACTATGTTTATTAGATTTAAATTAGATTTAATAATACTATATTTCATATACTTGGTATTTTATTTAGATGGATCATGTCAAACGAAAAAACAAAAACGGGAAAAAGTAAAAGGAAATGTTTCCAATGTTAACACTCCAGTAAGATTTCACCACGTTCACTTTCTTTTTGCTTTAGTCAGTAGTACTTTAATACGATTGTTTCATGACAGTATAATAGTAAATACACGCTTATATAAAAAATGATTCATCGAGGATCAAAAAGAGGAGTTAATTATTTTAAGTTGTTTATTTCACACTACTTACGTACATATGTATACTCTTATACGTTATCCCACAATTTTCTTCGTATACATGATTTTTAACAGAAGAAATAAAAGAAAGTAGTACATTGTACCGAGTTTATCCTTATATATTTTTATATCTCGTATTGGAGAATCACTATTTCTACTTTAAGATCAATTTATTGCACTATTTCTATTTTAAGATCAATGATTTAAAGATACAGAGATTTATTTCTATGTAATTGAAATACTGTTGAAATATAAATTACGGACATTACTTTTGATATTTTAAATTGGATATAGATTTCAGGAATAAGCATCTGAGCCACGTCTGATGAATGAGTAATATTCTTAGAAAGACAGGAAGTTGAAGTATTACAATAAGGAGGGTATTGTTTCGTAGCAAAGCAACAAAAATAATTGAATAGATACAGGTAACTGTCTGTGTCTTGAACACAAAATAACGAAGAATTCTACTATTTTACAATTTAAAACGTGATATCTTTCTCTTGTTTAAAACATTTGGATTTCAAGTTTTGCCCTTTTTCTCTGGCCTTATCAGCTAGAACAGTTTAATGTATTTGTTACAAAATCTAATTTAGCTAGCTTTGATAACAGAAGCGATAATTAGGTTCAAAATAATATTAATGCTTCAAGAGTATTACTTATCTAAATTTAATTACATTATTTGCAACACGCAATTCTTTATTACTTTTATAACCACAATAACATTTCCCTGAATAATTCAAAAATTCAAATTTATTCGAATAGCTTTACCTTCCTGAACGAAATAAAACGCGAAGAATCGTTTAAAAATTAAAATAGCTACAATTGTATTCAACACCTGGTAAATCGATTCGTAATAACCAAAAGAAATTATCATTCTGTATTGAACATACACAATTTATATGTTATAAACTCGCGATGTTCGGGTATTCGAACGTATGTATACATAATCTACTGTTGAAAGCATCAAATCGTAGATAAGAAGAAAACAAATAAACCCCGTTAATGGTATCATAATGACTATGAAATTATTATAATATTTATTTTTTGCACTTTCTTATCTCTATGTATTACAGTTGCGTACTAAAGATAAAGGTAGTTAAGTGTTCAGTTGAAGAATTGAAAACTTAGAATGACACCGATATACTGTGTCCTCCATAAAAGAAGAATATTAATAGCTTATGCCCGAGTGTGGTAAGTATAATGATTCGAAACTACGTTATTTCGGTGGAGTGGACATTATTTATCTGTGAAATTTCAATCCGGAATTTTCCTGAGAGTTATCAACCTTGAAATAAAAACTATTATGGATGAAACTCACGCAGAATAACTTTTAAGCACGACTTCGTTACTCGATACCATTTACTGGTGGATTGGAAGACATCGACATGTGGTTATTGTGGTTTTGCTGATGACTCTGGACGTGTGTTACTTTGGAAACGCTTGGACGACCAGCTAGAAAAGCTGCAAACTGCTCCTGTAAGATTAAAGCCGACACGTGATGGTCAATCAAAAATTAGCAATGCATATGCTTCTCTCGAGAAACTTGTTTTATCTCTATATTATAAAAATATAGAATAAAATATAAATATATTTCTATATTTTCTTTAAAATAGCCTGTCAAAATATTTCCTTTGCATCTGATTAAAGATTTATAAACCCAAAAGTGCTAGATTCTGAGCAGAATTTGAAATGTTAGAGCAGTAGAGTGATACTTTTATTATACATTTTAATAATATTTTTGCAATGCCTTTTATTTAGTTTTCAAATTATTATCATATTAGTGAAATTTATATTTTAATTATAAAGTAGATTATGTTTTTATTTATATACCATTAAAATATAATTAATTTATATTCCAACATATTTAAATGTGGTTTCGTATATTTAACATATTTGAATTATATTTTAATAATAACGAAATAAATACTAAATTTATTACAGAATTTTATTGCTGAATTTTGTTGTATAATATAAATTGAAAACACTAGTAACAGTATATAGAATAATTGTTGTTTAATTCTAATTTTATTGATTAAACTGTAACGATAAAAATTATAAGAATGAAATAAAACTAGGTTTTACGTACCAACAAGTGATTTGTGGTTGAATTGAGCCTGTGTATAGCCAAACGTATTGAAGATATGTGTTCTCTGGCTGCATCCTTTTTACCAATAACTGGCATCACCTTGGGAAAAAGAAACGCGAAACAAAATAGAAGTAATTAAATTAAATACGTGAATATTGTACGAATATGTATAAATGTTATGCAAGTGATCTAAGCAAAGAATCCAAAAGAAATCAATTTTTCTCTTATATTACATCCCATGCAATAACATAAAACTATTTTTGTGAATTGCTGAAAAAATTGAACTATTAACTCTTTGACTGTCACGCCGAAATCACATGTTTCGCAGAGGACGCCACGGGAATATTTTTATTATTCGAAGCATATAATGGCAATATAATAATAAATTGGTGATATAAGACAATATTCTTACCCAGTGGAGCGTTTATCTTATTGGCAGTCACGAGTGACACCGGTGGCGCCTTGCTAACGGTTGACAGTCGACTAACTGTCAATTTTCACTCAATTTATACAATTGTAAGTAGTTCAAACGCTCCGGTCATCAATGTCCACCATGGTGACAGAGGAGAAATCGTGACCGGTCATATATGACCAACGTGGCAGTCAAAATGATAAATGAAATTTGTAATTGCGTCTAAATTAATTTTTCAAATTTATCTAAATGCAAAACTTTTAATATGCCAAAACGAAATATGTATAACATAGAGCACTCGCATAATCGCTATATATGTAATACGGATGCGTGCATATAATTATATAATATATACGTATACATGCGTATATGTGTATTGTACATTATATATTTGTCTAAGTTTATTAAATATATATTGCAAGATCTATATATTCTATATAATTTATAAATATTGTATAATCTATGTAATAAACACATAACTTTTAATATGCCAAAACGAAACATGTATAACATAAATCACTCGCATAATCGCTATATATGTAATACGTATACGTATATATAATTATATGATACACACATATATATACGTATTGTATATTATATATATTATAATGTAAAATGTAATTATATTGATATAATTATACGTATTATATATGTGTATAATATTGTCTTGTAAGTATAATAAATGTATATTGCATGACGTATATATTCTATATGATTTATAAATATTGTATAATTTATATGATAAACACATAACTTTTAATATACCAAAACGAAACATGTATAACATAGACCACTCGCATAATCGCTATATATGTAATACCTATGCGTGCATATAATTATATGATATATACATATATATGCGTATATGCGTATTGTACATTATATATATTGTAATGTACAATATAATTATTAAATATTAATTGTAATGTACAATATATTTATATAGTTATAATTATACATATTATATATACGTATAATGTTGTCTAAGTATAATAAATAAATATTGCATGATCTATATATTTTATATGATTTATAAATATTGTATAATCTATGTAATAAATGCATAAAAGAAAGTTCGGGATTTAATGGTATTTACTTTCAACGTAGCATCTGCAACAACGAGCAATTGGTGCGAAATTCTAGTGAGGATCCTGCCAAGATTGCGAGGAGTCCTAGCTGCTAATGCCGCTGTCCCATTCACCAGATGAACGATACGACGCGCGGATTCGCGTGTTAAGAGGACCAATAACTGTTCCAGAGTAGCTGGCCGGGCTTGATTTTCTGGTTCAGGTAAACTTAACGTTTTCCAAAGCTCTTTAGCCTTTTGAAGCGCTAATTTTGGATCTGTCGCTAACTACAACACGTCAATTTCATCATTGCACGAGAGAAATACAACGAGTGCTTTGAAAATAGTCTGACATGTGAGAATACGTGTTTCAGTGCGTATGTGTGATTCTCTTTGTTTAAGGTAAAAGTGTGGAAGGTGCGTGAACGGAGATGGTTCAGGTTTATGGTTGGCAGTTGAATATAATGGGGTGAAGTCTGTAGAACCCAAGAAAGGTACGTTTCCCCCTTAACAAACCAAGCAATTCCGTTTAATATTTGACAGGTGCGACATCAGCTGAGTCTGAACCATGAGGTAAAAAGGGGCTACAAAATGGGAGAGGCAGTTAGTATACAAGTGTTACTGATTGTGAGTAACAGATCATTTTTAGGAAGAGAGTAATATGTTGTGAATGTGAAATTTTATGTATATATATATATATTTTATTTCAATGTAAAAATATTATATATTGTAATGATATATATATTAAAATTATTACAATAATGTAATGCAATACAAGAATAATAACAACATAATAATATAATAATATATATTAATATCGATATTATTATATTATTATATTGTAATTGTTATTATAATATTTTATTACTTCATATATTACTTTATAATCGTTTATTGTTATTATATTAATGTAAATATAATAATAGACGATTAATACAATGCAATACAAGAATAATAGCAATATAATAATATAATAATATATATTAATATCTATATTATTATATTATTATATTGTAATTGTTATTATAATATTTTATTACTTCATATATTACTTTATAATCGTCTATTGTTATTATATTAATGTAAATATAATAATAGACGATTATAAATTAATCTTACACTAACAATAATGATATTATATTATTTCACTATTAATAATAAAATATTACACTAATAATAATACATTATTTTTCATATTATTTACCATTTCCTATACTACAAATCTGTAACTCATGCCAATATTCAGCAGTGACATAATAAATATAAGAAGTGAGACTTCAAATACCAGAAGTAGAACTCAAAGTATTTACAAACAAATAATTTAACTTGTGAGTATAGTAACTTTGTTAAATTTAAATTTTTATTACCATTCCTTTTTTAATACTCACTTAACATTTCCTCTTCTATGTTTTTGTTCAATTTTTATTTTTTATATCGACAACTATGTTAATCGAAAGAGAGCTTACTTACCAACTCTACAACATACAAAAGCACATGAATGCATTCCGTTCCTTGTTCCTTAAGAGCTCGAGCTTCTGCTAACGTCCGACGCGTTAGTCTCTTTTGTAACTTCCTAGATAGCCTGGCTCCGTGTTTGATCGTTCGTGTGGTTTTACTTACCAATTCGGGAGGGTTAGCATCTGAAAAATAATTTTAATTGGCGATAAGATCTTGTCGTTATATGGCATTCGCATTTGCAATTTTTCTGCATAATTCTTTCGGTGAGTACATGCTATTTCACACTTCAAAATAGATTTTATTTTACTATTTTTCATTATCACTTTAAGATTTCCCAAATATTTATAGCAATACTGAAAAATAATTTTAATTGGCGATAAGATCTTGTCGTTATGTGGCATTCGCATCTGCAATTTTTGTGCATAATTCTTTCGGTGAGTACATGCTATTTCACACTTCAAAATAGATTTTATTTTACTATTGTCTTCATTTCGTTATCCCCTTAAGATATCCCAAATATCTATAGCAATACAAGTTAATTTCTCTTTTTCTTTCTTATACGATTATATAATAATTTCTTATTATTCAATTAAATTATGCAACAATTTTGCATAAAATATGAGAAGAGTGTAAGACAAGAAATATTTTAAAAGTTCTCTATCAAACAGTAAATTAGAGTAATGTATCTAAGTAAAAACAAATTCAGTATGATCATTTTAGACCACAGTTTGAGAGAAGTAAATCATTTTCTTGTAGAAATCGTAGAACTATGTACTTATTACAGATAATAAAAATTATTTATCTCTGTTAGTGTTATCTGAAGAAATTGAACTTAACCTGATATATAATAGATTCGTAATTTGTAAGAAAAGCATTGTATCAATTTATTATTAAATAACAATTCGTAAATTAAAAAGAGAGTCATGCTAAATGATAAAAAAAGTATAATATAATATAGTAATATATAGTATGATATAATAAAAAGTAAAACATAATATAGTAAGTTTTACTATAATATTACTATATTACTTGTAATAACTAAAAAGAAATATAACTAATAGAAATATATTATAGTTCTTCGATATTTGTTTAAAATTATATTAACCCATTTGCATCCAAGCGCGGAATATTCCGCGAGCTACGACTGTCGCCTATCACCGAGCGCGGAATAATCCGCAAGCTGACTTTTTCCATTACCAGTTGCTGAATATTCTTCATATGCCACAGATCACGTTTGATCCCTTTTGCGAGCATCTCATCTACATCGGTTCATTATATTCTTAACAAGTTTTACTTTTGTTGCGGAAATCCTTTTAACTGTCATTATGAGTAGGTGCTGATACGCGCGCGGTGATACAGGCTAGTCGTCAGTTGAACATCGCTGATAACTGAACACGGCACCTTAAGTAGAGCCATGATGCAAATGGGTTGACACGTTAAGTGCCACGGTCCCCAGGGACCGGCGCTAGACCGTCCGTTCGGGCCCGGCCGATCCTCAGGGACCGGCCCAGACTAGGACCAAAGATGCTAACTTTTGGTATTAAATTTTTCGCCATCTTTGGACCTAACGTTTAGGAATTCCTGTTATAACACTTGGTACAGTATCTCCGAATTTTATGAACACTTCGCCCGCCGCCAATGGCCCACTTGACGGCCGAATCTGGGCCTGAATGAAATAGCAAGCAAAACGGGCACTTAACGTGTTAACAATATTCGTTGACATTTACCAAATATTTTAAAAATAATTTATAACGTATAAAGAAAATTCGAAAAAATATTTTTATCGGTACTAAAAGATTTAATATAATCTGAAAATGAATTTGATACTAATTAGATTCGACTATATCGTTATCTACAACTGCCAAAGGTCATTGCTCTACGTTTGTTTCAGAATTTCTATGACGCGATTCCAATTAACCCTTTGCGTTCTTAGGTGGCCGTTTGATAAAATTTCGAAGCTCGATATTCATAAACATGTCAAATTTGAAATAATGTAACGGTATGTGAGGTATCGAAATGAAATAATTCTACGTGTTAATTATCATACGATTTCTTATTCCTGCTCAGAAAAATATCGTCAGCTTTGTACTGTAACTTAACTTTCAGAAAATCTTTGAACTCCTATCCTTCTTTGGCCAAAAAATCGTCGAGTGCAAAGGATTAATACTGTCGATTAATACTGACGAATAATTTACCATCGGTTTTGTCGGTGGGATCGGCAGGTAAGTAACGATCAACATATTTATCCGCGACAGTTAGAGCGTTGTCTAATCTCTCTGCTGCAGCGTTTGCAGCTTGGCTCCCTATCAGCTTCACGCTTCCGGCACGCATCAGAACAGGCCTAACGATTTTGTTGTTCACGTATTCTCGTGCATTGCAGTACATCTTAATCAGACAAAAAATAAATCAAACACACTTGAAACTCTGAATCTGAATTATCACTTTTCTCGTGGACGAGCATGAACTTACGATATGAGGAGGAAGGTGCACGGCTGGTACTCTTTGTTCAACGATATCGATACCTTTACAGAGCAACTGATCGATGGTCGTGATAGGCCCATTTAATGCATAAATCGCAGGTTTCGCTGATGCTGTTGCAATCGCGAATGACTGTTCAGCGGTACACAAACTCCAACTCATCAATGAATTCGAACGCTGAAATTCAGACTTTTATACTACACTTTTGATTCTTTAATGGTAGATCGTTGGTGAGAAATTTAACGATTTCTAAAACGGATCTAGACACGATAAACTATTAATGTTGTGACTGATATTTAAGGATGTGTTTGATGTTATTCGAAATAATCTCAAGCTGAACCTGTAACTGTAAAATAATGAAATAATCATTTTGAAACGATTACAGGAATATAGTAATAAGAAAATTAATCGGATTTGGTGAAATATTATTTCCAAAAATATTTGTAGGTATATATGTGCATCAAATATATTTATGTGTAAATATTATTTTATTATTATAAAATATTATCCAATATTTCGTAATATTTTATAATATTTTGTCAAAATATTATTTAGTTCCAAATAATACAGTAATATGAACATTAAAGGTGTATTTTAAGCATGTAGTATACACACATTATGTACATATTACGTATTCAAATATATCAAAATTAATTATAAAATAAAATAATATTAGGTACAAGTAATGTAAATGTAAACAATGTAATGTGAATAAAAGTAAATAAAAATTTACTTTTAATTAAAATAAATATAAATTATTATTTTATGTGTAATTTACATTATTTATAATTGAAATAAATTAAAATAAATATAAAATAAATTAATAATTAATTCGAATAATTTTTAAATCTATTCCTCGATATTGTTCTATGAAAATCTGTTAGAGATTAAATTAAGATAAGAAAATCTGGATACAAAATAATACTAAAATACTAACATAATAATAGTACTAATCAACAAATGGGAACAAAAAATCCGCCAAAGATAAATATTATAATATTGGCTTTGAAGTTTAGAATAAAAGGGAACATTTGAGTAGTAAGAATAACATTTTCTCTTTTTGTTACATACTTTCACGTGCTCATTCAGAAAACGTACTTTACTCGCGCTATTCTGCTGCTGAATGGGATGTGCCATGTAAAGGTTTACCCCATCATTGCAAACCTGGTGCGCTTTCACGGCAGGTGAAACTAATAGGTGAAAGATGAGGGAAAGCGACGAGATGCGTGAAATTGTTATTGAAACACTTTGCTTACCTTTAACTTATCGTACACATTACCAGCAATATGTATACTATTCTCTACTATAGGGAGATTGGAGATTCTGACGACTGATTCGAAACGCGGCAGATCAGAATGTCTCCTTTTCACACTTGTTCGCGCCATTTGCGAGACGATTGCTGTAATTAAATACGAAATTATTATTTGCATATCTCATAGCCAGTATTTATGTTCATATTACGTTAGCATAAGTCAAAATCGTATTATTTTTCGAAACAATATTATTCCTTCAATTTTTCTTTTCATCCTTTTATTTAATTTCTAAGTATTGCTTTGGTATTACTTTAGTATTATTTCTTTGTTGAAAATATAATATTTTCCTTGTACATGCTATTTTTATGGAAATAATATTTATTATAAAAGGAAAATAATAATATATCTAAATGGAAAGTAAATTATATCTTTAAACGAAAAAAGGAAATTACTAAATACGAACTTTAAAACGATGTTTCGTACTAATGACTGTTTAAAAATTAATATTACTGACTTTAAAATTATTTGAAAGACTGTTACATCTTATTTATGATAAGTGGTTTTCTTTTTTCAAGTACAAATATTAATTTTACAATTATGTAGTAAAAAATGCAGTTATAACTATATATTGTGAAAAATTTAAGTTTTCAAAATCATTAACAAGTTAAAAAATATATATACAGATGGATATTACATTTGTTCTGCTTGTGTATATAATATATATTCTACGTAACATTTATTAATTATACATATGAAACATACAGATCGAAATATATCTTTTAAATTCGAAATGTAAATTTCCACAAATCTTTTTGTACATAATTATACTGTTAAAACATGGTAATTATAAGAATGTACTATTTCCATTCGATAAATAATATTTAACATTTAATTCGTCAGAAACTGATTACTATGTAACATTATTATGATTATTAAAATACGAAAATACATATTTTTTCTTTTTCATACAGAATAATGTGAAGTAATTGAAAATTTGTGAGAATAGTATTATTAGTGATATATTATTAATAAATCGCAGATGTTTATATATCTGAAATATGTGAAAATGTTTAAATAATGTAATTGAAATTGAAATGACCGTCAATAATGATTTAGAATGAATTTAAATTTCACATATTATAATAAATATGTTCCTTTATTATTGTTTAGAGATTATAATTATAATTATAATTTGATTCGGTTTATTTAGTAATAAACTGTACCTCTTAAAGAGTATTGATTTATTATTAATCTTAAATCAGTTAAAATCAATTTATAATTCAACATATATGTAATATTATGCTTTAATGTCATTGTTTAACTGACATTGATTTTTCAGCAATATTACCACTAAAAAATTTCATATATTCGTAACATGGTATCAAAAATAGAAGTTTTATACAGAATATTTTTCAAAAATTCTTAATCACAAATAGTTATTAAATTTTGTCTATTTCGATGTCAAAAATTACTTGATAATGTATACAATATCTGTCATATCTATTTTTACTATTATTGTTAGTAAATTTGTTCGAAGGTTCAACAAACAACTAGTATCAAATTTTACGAGATAAACATGGCGAACGTATGGCACATACGTTTTCATAAAAATGTATATATTATAAAATATATATATATATAATAAAAAATATACAAAATGAAGGTTCCATTTTATGATCAATTTCCTAAAAAAATATACATTTCTATGAGCATCTGCAATTTAATTAATACACACATAGTATTAAATTGGCAATCATACTGGAACATTCCACAATTCTATCATACGTAAATTTTATAATGATTACATTTTCATCTTCGTCTATTAAATCTTCACACCCTAACAAGATCCTTATCCTACGTGAATCATCTTGCAATGAAAAAGCCAAATATTCTTTTTATTATTTATTATACACACCCGATAAGATTTAACAAAGATACAAATTAAAGTAGCAACACGAAACGATTTTGTATGATACAGCCAAATAGATTATATCTATCAAGCTTAATATACATAGTATTAAATATAACGCTATGAAAAATATTCCTACAGCTTGTCCGGCAAATTTTAAGATACACGATATAAACACTGCTGTATAGTAATCAAGAGAAACCAATTGTAGCAATTGATAAGAAAGGTCATATTATAATGTACCTCGTGGTTAATGTCGAGGTTGCACTCTTTTCAAGAATTTCAACAATTCAAGTTTATCCACAGGTCTCCCTAACTCGTCTCTCTAACCTACCCACACACACACATACACACATTCGTAAGGAATAAATCTCAAAGAACAAATAGCACAAACCTTTTCATTCCTAGATCTCAAAATTCTAATCCCACATTACCAGAATAATAATTTAAAATAATTTATTCCCAGCTTCCTATGATTGCATGTATCACAACTCGCATTAAACATGGGTCGATACCCCTATTCTTATCACTTCTATCAAAACAACAACTAACTTCGTCAACGAAGTATCCTGATCTAAATAGCATTTATAATAACATTTACTTATCCGTATTTTTAAATTTTCTCCTTTATCACCAAGAAGCGAGTTCACGGGAATCATAAACTTGATAACAAGGAGACACGAGAAAAATCCGAGAGTTTGAGGATTAGTCGGATGAAATATTCCAGGTTGCCGTATCACGTACAAGTATAACACGAGATATCGAGAATAATCAAATTGTATACAAGAGAGATCGCAAGCTGCAGGATTTATCGTCTCGAGGAAACAAGATGAAACACCTCAAATATTTACCAAAGTTGTAGTATCTATATATATGCGCATAATATTGGAAATACAACGAGACCAAAGGGACGATGAAGTTAGATATGAATCGATAGTCGATGATTCACGGATATCGGAGCCAGTCGATACTAGATCGCGTTGATTCTTACCTTAGGCTATGGAGAACCAAGTGGGCCGATGGAGAAGCGAGGATTCGATCTCGGTGTAATTATATAACGAAACTCGGCAGGTTTGAAAGGCAGATGGAATGGCTAAGTCTGTGTTTCGCCAAAGAACACGCCACTGACTGCGAACATCGCAGCCTGCGAAATGGTATCTCATCGGCTTGACCTATGACACGTCGATTATACAGCCGCGGCATCCATGATGCCTTACCAGTGACTCTTTCCTCGGCGTTTGTTTTACACTTGTAATCCAATAATACACGACGAAACACCACTTTAAATGAAAGATCACGTAGGCATCGAGTCGATCGTGGATCGTTTGATCATCAGCTTTCACTGTAATTCGTAATTCGATCTAATGTGTCACGTGTATAGACAAATTCGAGGTTACGTTTACCGCAGAACTTCGTTTTCAATGTAATATTCGTATATGTAGATTTAATGCAGACGAATAGCAGGATAGGATATATAATGGAACGTATGGAATGTTAGGCAATTTGGTGGTGCTAGGGTCATCTCGATGTTAGGCGATTTTAAAGGTCCTGATGTTCGCTGATGTTAATATTTAGGTACATGAATATTATTATATAATGTAATTTTATTTTATATTTATACTATATTTAAATTACATTTCGTATATATTGTATATATAGTATATTATTTTAAAATAGTATATTATAAAAGATTTTCTAATACTGATAAATTATTATAATGTATAAACATATACTAATAAATTATTTTCAAGGTCTATGGAAATTGGCAATGGTACTAAGAAATAAAATTGAATTAAAAAATAAAATATTGTATATTATTTTAAAATAGTATATTATAAACGATTCTATAACCTTGAATAGATGAAGTAAATATTTCCCATAGAAAGTTGTACCACAATGATAAAATATTTTCAAGGTTTATGGAAATTGGCAATGGTACTAAGAAATAAAATTATTTACTAAAATTCGCCTAGAAAAATTAAAATACAATCATAATTATAATCTTTAAATTGTCATTATTTCATTATTCATTATTGTCCAAATATTTATTACAAATAATATCCATTATTTGTCCAAAGAAATTGTTATACATGGTATACCTGAAAACATACTAACTGGAGAAATGTAAGAAATAAAAGAAGTTTCGAATGGGAATTTTTGTTTTAGATTAACACGTGTTAATTATTAATTTTATTAACTGTAAACCTTAACTGTTATACAATTAGCATATGCTATCCTAAATCAGAAATTGTTATTAATTATCGTTAACAATAATTAAGTTGTTATTAATAACGTCATCAGCAAAAATAAGGCGAACATAGTATGAAATGATAAATAAAAAATGCAGCAATAATTACAGAAATTATCGAATATGATTCTCAAAAATTTGTAATAACATTTTAAATAACTTCTACATGAAATTATGCATAGCATTATTTCTGCTTCCGGTAATTTTGCATTTGGAAAGGCATAATCTCAGATTTAACACATTATACGCCAACTCCACGATATTATATGACTTCACCATTATCACGTGTATTTTCAGGTATCCTAAAATTTTCCCAGAATTTTAGTGACAATTGTAATAAAACACATACTTCATTATAAACATAATACTTTATATTACTATTCCTTTTTGTCTAATATTAATTTTAACCCTTTGCACTCGACGATTTTTTGGCTAGAGAAGAGTAAAAAATCAACGTTCTCTATTAAAAAACTGAGGATACTTTTTTGAGCAGTAAATAAAGAATTGTATAATAATTGAATTGTAGAATTATTTGATTTCGATACCTTGCACACTGTTACATTAAATTAAATTTGATATATTAATTAATATCGATCTTCTAAATTTTATGAAATGGTGACTGAGGGTCATCTCTCGAGTGCAAAGGGTTAATATTCGATGAAGCTATTAATCCTTTGCACTCGCGATCTTTTCGTTACAGAAAAATAGTAATTCGAAAACTTTCTGTCATAAAGTCGACGATATTTTTAAAACGGTAAATAAGAAATCATACGCAAATTAATATGTAGAATTATTTTATTTCGACATTCCACACATCGTTGGTTCATTTTAAATTTGATATATTAATCCTTTGCACTCGACGATTTTTTGGCTAGAGAAGAGTAGAAATTCAAAGACTCTACTAAGAAACTGACGATGCTTTTTTAAGCAGTAAATAAAGAATTATATAATAACAGAATTGTAGAATAATTTGATTTCGATACCTCGCACACAGTTACATTACATTAAATTTGATATATTAATTAATATCGATCTTCCAAATTTTATAAAATGGTGACTGAAGCTCACCTCTCGAGTGCAGAGGGCTAATTTTGTCATTCAGCGACATAGTAAGTACATTTCCTCAACACCAAACCTGCCACAATTGATCAAATAACCGTCAAATGAAAAGACAATAAAAGAAAAATTAAAGAAAAATCGGAATAAAAGAAGATATTGAAAAATTCATTATACTTCTATTAGAAGGAAAATCGTGAAATTAAGTCAATAAAACGATAACGTCGAATGCGGAATTTTTAATCGAAAGCTTTAAAACGATCATTAAAACGATGATAAGTTTAATGTTAAAATACCGTCATACTATTTTATGAAAATGTACCAATATTTTCTTTCGAATATTCGGTCCTCGCAACATCTGAAATCTAGCCAGCGTGCATCGCGTTATGTCTTATGGCCAAAGAAGAAAGTAGTTGCGACATGATAGTAGTCGTTGAGAGCCTACTTGTAGTAATAGCTACAGAAAATTTATAGTGGAAAAGGAGACTACGCGGAAAACTTGAAATTATCGCCCGCAGACGTTCTTAATTGCTATACAAAGTCCATCGCATCAAACGTTCATTCGCGTGTATGGTATTGTATGGTAATCAGCTGTTTGTATGAACAAAAATACGTCTCATTTCTTTTATTTCACACGTATTTTGAAGAAAATCTGTGACTGTTCTGTGTAACACGGAAATTTTTATTGAGTCCATTACGATGTCAGATTTGAACGTACGCAATAAGAAAATTGAATTGCAATTTTGGTAATCACGTATATCTGCGTTAACTTTAGCAAGAAGATCTGTGTAACATAATGCAAATGCGATGAGAAAATGTTCCAGAATTATTTGCCATTAATTTTTTGTATGTATTCTTACAAGATTATACTGTATCATTTAACATTATGCAATTTTGCTGTTTTTTGAAGTCTCATTTGCAGATTATTACGTCTATCTGGTAGAAATAGTGTTCAAATAGCGATATTAAGGTGTAAAAAATTGTATAGTGCATTTGTAGATAACCTTTGTATAATACAGTATTTATTGGAAATTATTTACACAAAGATGTTTGTGAAACTTTGTGATTTAGATTATATAGTTGGTTTAAGGATAGCATGAATTTTGTGTGATGTAAATTACAAGTCAAACTGACATTTTGTATTATAGAATAGTACATATGAAATATATACAGGTAACCCTCCTATAACACGGTAGATAGGTTCCCAGAAAATGCCGTGTTGTGTGAAACCGTGTTGTACGAGACCCAGAGCCAATACAAAAAGTTGGGTTACGTTCCGAAAATTTACTAAAAACAAATTTTTTTTTTAATTCTACATAAACAATTTAATTTTTATTAAAAATATAAATGTATGTACAATACAAAACAAAACGAAAAAGAACAAAAATATTATTTTAATTTAATGCCACTTTAATTTAATAAATTTCTTCGTCGTCACTGCTTATGTAGAAGTACAGTGTAGTGCAAAGGTTATTGCAATTTTCTTATTGTGTTAGAGCGAAACTGTGTTATAGGATGCCGTGTTGTAGGAGGGCTACCTGTACTATTAATTTTTTCATTTACTTGTGGAGTTATCAGGTAAATATTAATTGAGTGGATAATATAAATATAGTATAAATATGATGTAAATATAATATAGATATATATATAAATAAAACATAGATATGATACGAATATAAATATAAATAAAAATGTAATGTAAATATAATATGAATATAAATGTAAGTTAAATATCATTTTGAAGAAACATAATTAGGGGATATAATACTTCAACAAGTCAACAAAGTAATAAAATAAAAATTCACAGAAACAGTCCTTAATTCTTCTTTTCGCTTCTTTATAAAGAAACAGTCGGAAATTATATTCATTATTTAATTACTTAAATCAATTTCATCTTCAAATGAATAAAATTGAATTACAGAATTGTACATCATTTTATTCCAGCATCTTAATTTCGATAGTTTGAAAAATCTGACAATTCCAATATTATTGAATCTTGAAATTAATAATTTTCAATTAACGATTATTACATTATAGATATCAATTTATTATATCAATAACTCGATATGTTTATTTATTAGACTCATTAAATTGATATTAATTAGGATGAAATAAAGTAAAACATTTAAATACAGCTACTTAATAAATCAATTTGTTTATAACAAAAATTGTAATAATAATGAAACTTGTGAACGAATATAAATTATATATAATATTTATATTTGTTTTATTATTATTACGTTTCATTAACGTTTTACCTATTATTAAGTCTTACAATTATTATAATAATATTATATAATATTATATATATAGGTTAATGTGACATTAGTGTAAATTCATATTTGAAAAATTCAACTTTAAATTAATAAAATTGAATTACAGAATTGTACATCATTTTATTCTAGCATTTTAATTTCGATAGTTTGAAAAATCTGACAATTCCAATATTCCTGAATCTTGAAATTAATAATTATTTTCGATTAACGATTATTACATTATAGATATCAATTTATTATATCAATAACTTCATATGTTTATTTATTATACTCATTAAATTGATATTAATTATGACGAAATAAAGTAATACATTTAAATACAGCTACTTAATAAATCAATTTATTTATAACAAAAATTGTAATAATAATGAATGTTTTACCTATTATTAAATTTTATTATAATTATTATCATTATTATATTATATAATATTCTATATATTCACATATGTTAATGTGACATTAGTGTAAATTCATATTTGAACTGATAAACAAATATATATTTTCTATACTATTTCTGTTCATTTCCGTTTCCTCCTTATAGACAATTGTAAAACGA